GGTCACAGGTACAGAGAGCTTGACTATTTTAATAATCAAATCTAATTGCCACACAGTTGAACTCATCCATTTTTACAGAAATAATTGCGAAGCGGGCTGAAAATATCAAATGAGCTCCATGGTAGCTGACTCCGACTCTTAAAATATAAGAGGAAATATCAGGCCAACCATCAGGCAAACAAGCAGTGCTACAAACAGCACAAGCTCAGACACTGACCAGGAGGCAAATGAAGCATGTTACTGCTCCCTGTGGTAGTGTGGGCCCCAAAGTCATTTAGGTCTAAAGAGCAGTCAGTAGACACACATGAAAAACACACATGAAACAGTATTAGACACCATATTTACAGTATAAGATGATAAAAATTGTAATACATCAATAAAATATTTTCAAGTGTTTTATAGTCTTCTGTATAGTCTAGATAATTTTGATTGTATATATTTGTGATTAAAACTGTGGCCTTTTTGCCAACTGCATCGTGTTTTACTTAAATGTATGGTTTTTTTTTTTAAGTCATTTACTTAAATGTTTTGTACCAAAGAAAAAATTACTTTATTGAAGAAGCCTGGGTTAGAAGACATAAAACTCAGGAGATACATTCATGTTGAAAAACCAATTGTTGATGTCAAATACTAGCCAAAGAGACTTCCCACTGGAAAGGACTTTATCTGTTTGCATACTGCCTGTGAACATGCTGTGTTTTCCAGATCTGGCGAAGTGATGTAGAACAGAAAGTAATTTGTCTCTCATGTCAAGAGAAAGAGAAGGAAGTGAGAAGCAATTAGAAGCAAGAAGAGTTGACCTCCCGTCTTCCACGCTGCTGGCAGAAAGCAATCACAGATAAGGGTGTGCGGTGTGTGTGCTTGTGTGTAAAGGGTAGGATACTTGAATAAGTCTGGGCTTCCCAAAACGTAGACAGCCATGACAGAAAGAATCAAATCTAACTTGAAAACGGAAATGAAGAAACAAAAAAGGATTAATATTTTTAATGAATGAAGGCAAGTAAGAAGTTAAAAGAAATGTGCATCTACATTTGTATTTCTTTAAATACTGTTCTGGTTTGTAACATTTCTTAATAAAAAGTAAGGATTGATTCACACTAACACTTTGCTATCTTGTTACATTTTTAACAAAAAAGAAAAAAAATCACTGAAAGAAATTGTTTGCTGTGATGTACAATACAACTTAGTCATTGTATCTATGGAAAGCCAGGAGTGAACCAACCCCACTCCTTTGGTTTCTGAATATCAAAAACACACTCAAGAACCTCAGTTTTTAAAACCACTGGTCCTTATGCCTCTCCTGAACTCCAAGTCTGACAACACTCCTCTCCACCTGGATATCCTGCCAGCACTATCTGACAAATCCAGTGTTCCTTGCCTTTCTGTCCAGCCTGTCCCTCTTCCAGTGCTCCCTGTCTTGTGCCTTGCATGCAGCCTAAGCCATTGCCTTTCTGCTCTCTCAGAGATCCCCATTTGATCACTCCATCAAATCTATCCCTTCCTCTGCACCTGGTTAAGGTCCCAGCTCTCTTCCTTGGACCTAGTAAGAGTCCCATTGCTCTGGGCCCCGATATTCTGGTCTACCATCTGTCTTCTCCTGGGATTATCTTTTGATATACAACCCAAGGATTGCTCTGGGCCCCCATATTCTGGTCTACCATCTGTCTTCTCCTGGGATTATCTTTTGATATACAGCCCAAGCTCCCCTGGAAGACTTTTCATCCTCCAGCTTCATTGCCTACCACCTCTGCCCCTGGGCTCTAGCCACACCAGTCTTTGTTCCCCTGGACGTGCCTTGTCTTAGCTCAGGCCCCCTGCTTGGCATGCCCTTTTTGCATCCCTGCCTCAGCAAATCCTACTCACTACTTCCCGTGTGAAGCAAGCCCTGCCCTGGCAGAATTCATCTCTCTGTCCTCTGTACTACAGCGGCACTTAGCTCTCACCCGGGTAGAGCACTTATCACATTACATTAAGGTTGCTGATGTGTCTGCTTTACCAAACAGATTACAGGCTCCTTTAGGGCAGGAATCAGGTCTCAAATCTCTCCATTGAAAGCACCTAGCGGAGGGGCTGGCAAATGGAAAGTGGTTAAACAATCCTTATTAAGTTAAATGCTATTTCTTCAGGCTCCCAGCCAGAAATTACCTGATGACAACTTACTCAAATTGAGGGCCTGTAAGGAGGAAAGAGACTCATAAGTAGACACAAGAAATGTGAGAACCATAACAAAAAGCTTCCTCTCTCAATTCAATGGAAATTCTGGGAGAAAAATAAATAAGTGAAATCTGGGGGCTGCCCATTACAAATCTAAAGGCTAATGACATAATAAGATACTATGTATAATTTGGTAAGTTCATAAAAATCACCATGATTAGTTTTTAAATTTAGAAAATTTTAAAGCATTTGAAAATGCATTAAATGAATGAATGTGTGTATACAGAGGACAATTAAATCTATACGTCTAAAGTATAATATTTATGTAAGCATTATTTATACAAAGAAAACTGTACAAATTGTAAGTATACAGCTCCATACATTTTTACCGAGGGAATACAGCCATGTAACCAGTTTCCAGATAAGAAGCAGAACATTCCCAGACCTTGAGTCCCCTTGTGCCCTTTTCTAACCACTCCCCTGCCCCTAAGACCCACCATTACTCTGACTTTTAACACAACAGGTATATTGTGCCTGTTCTTATTCTTTGTATAAATAGAATCATACAGTACATAACTATCCACACTGTAGCAAGACAAAAAGTTGTTTCTGAACCTTATGAACTCCATTTCATCAAGCCAGTAACTTTCTCAATAAACACTTCCAGAATGAAGGAATAAATGAAGCAGAATTATAAAGCACTCTTTCAGAAGAAAACAGAAAAACTCACTGAATACTTTTGCCACACGATCATTTTTGAAACCAGTCTTATTTTCCGAACTCTAGGCACAATTTTCGCATCTTTTGGTGCTTTACTTTTGACATTTTCACAAACATTTAAAAACTAAAGTTTGAGAGAAACTCTCTTTTTACTCTCATGTGTCTGGACCACAGACTATTTGCTGAAGTGAACAAAAAAAGGGGGGGGAGGGTTTTGTCATCATATTGTGGAAGAAATAGGAAGAATAGCAGATTGAATTTGTAAAACAAATACAGTGGGATTATCTGCGTTCTATTTTTGATAGGATATGTCCAGCACCCAGCAAGCTGTGCCTCCATATTGTTTTATACACACAGTGCTGCCATCCGACTACATGGGCACTGCAAGTTTGCCTGCTCTCCTATGAGCACGTACCTTGGGGATTAAAGAAACCGGTCATCCAAAACACGTTAGGCCTCCCTTCAAATATCCAAGTAGAAAATTGAGCATTTCTTTCCAAAAGTTCAGTAAACCAAAAGCCCAGTGTGGATGAATCCCACGATATTCTTTTCCACAGCTGAGGTATACGAGCATCATACATGTTGTCCAGGGCATCTCTCAAGTTCTGAAGAAGATAAAGTTAATCTGTGTGAATTAGAAATACCAACAGAAGAGGATAATGACTACTGAGATCATAACAGCTCACCTCACTCATAATGATTGTTCCCTCAATGGCCAATTTTAGATCGCTCAGGCTACTGCGAAGTGTCATAATGACTTTTTGCATTCTGTCAATTTCTTGTCTAAGAAATATGTTCATTGAATTAAGGTGTCCCATCTTTATCAAACGAGCTTTCACCTAAAATAAAGTATACAATATAATAAAGGAGTTTTTTTTAATCATTTCTCTTTTCTCTTCCAATGACCTCTCCTTTCTCAATTCTTTTTTTTTCTTCTGGATGTATCTCTACCAGCCCAAATGAGCCTTAAAATATCTCTTGCAGAACCAAACTTGCCATTAAATTCCCCATTTTCTGGGCTTCAAAAATTACTGTTCAACTAAAATGATTTTTATTTCCTACTGATTGTGCTTAGTTGTTGATTGGAAATGTACTTTAAAAAGATGAAATAAAATTGTACCTTTTTTTCCCTTTCAAATGATTTAGTACTCAGTGTCAGTTAAATATTCGTTTGTAATTTAACCTTTATAAGAGTACAATTGGAAATGTACTTTAAAAAGATGAAATAAAATTGTACCTTTTTTTCCCTTTCAAATGATTAAGTACTCAGTGTCAGTTAAATATTCGTTTGCAATTTAACCTTTATAAGAGTACTGTGGAAATTTTTTTTCATTATGCTTGCAGAGTTGTTATTAGAAATGTCACAGAAAGTTAATACAGCCAAAATCTTTACAGAGCAGTTACCAATGAACATAATTAGTGGTAGTTCCCTAAGATCATTGTTGCCTTGGCTATGGTGGCTAAAGAGAGCCTTTCCTAATCAAATCAATGAAAATATTTGATTTTGTGGGAGAGCCATTAAGCATCCGTCATTCGTTCCTTTTGGTGTATGATTATTGACCATTTTCAAGAGATCTATACAAAAGCCTCTAGTTATGGGAAAAATAAAACATAACCATTATTGGAAAATAAGCCATACATACAAACATTTCAATCTAGTGGCATGAGCCCAAGAAAAGATCGACTATAAATACTGGCAGGAAATCATAAAGAGATTTGAACTTGCTGCTGGCCACAATCATAGAGATGCCAGAATAGAAGAGATAAGGATAGACATGTGGATTGGGAGAGAATTTAAAGTGATGCATCCGTTCAAAGAATCACCAGGAGACCAGTAACTGTAGGGTTCTCTGCCAGAGATACCCTCAGCCCCTTCTTGAGGCATGGGATGTTAGAGATGGATGGGC